TCTTAGCGGTTAGACCATTGACCACGCGTCCTCGAGCGGACGGAGCATTGTTCCCACAGGACCGATCACCGATGGCCAATCGTTCCTTTTTGCTGGGGGAGGGGGAGGGGGATAATCGAGAGAGGGGGAACGTGCTTGGTTGGCGATGAAGGACGGCGAATGTGTTTGTGCCGATGACAATACACGGTGGCCGAAAACTTCAAAAAAAACTTGAAAAACGTCCGCTAGCTTTAACTTGGTAGGTCGACAAAGTTGTTCGGCTGCTGTGACGAAACCTATTTTGACAATTGAACGTCCTCGTCCGTACATGAAATGAACACGCTATGTACGAAGATCTACAAGCGTAATGTGTTGCGATGTCGATCCGAGCACAAGCACAGAGCGTTCAGCCGGAATGAGCGCACCACCCCCCGGGTAAGGTTGTCAACGCCTGATCGCCCCACAATCAATCGGGAAGGGTACCGAAAAGGGCGGTATTGGATAGGCTTCGCCGAGAGCTTTGCTTCGACGTATCGATCGGCTTTTCGGGACCCTTGCTTGTGTACAACATCGGAAAGGGAGGTGCGTTCTTCGATAGCTGTACCGCCATCGATCACAAGACTTGGCGGGTGGTTCGCACGACAAGAGTGGACACCGTTCGTGGTAAAATAACAGCAGCTGACATCGCAACATCACAATCTCTGTGGAGTCACAGGAACGGCAGAGTCAACCAAACGAATCTCGAGAAGATAACTGACAACACTCCGCGTGGTGGACACCCAATATCCCACGGATGGTGCATACCCCCTAGGCCGCAAGGGTGCGCCTGCGCCGTGTAACAGCACGCCGGTGCGGCGAAGAGGGGCGCGCAAGTCATGCCGCAAACAACGCGGACAACAAGCAAACCCTTTCGATCCTCGAAGAGAACGAACCATTATTCTTCATCGCGCCACAACGGAGACAACAACACTGCCTGCCACCACCACAAATAAGCGAAAAAAAAGAAAAATCCGGTGCTCACCGAACGCCAAAGCGACAACAACGAGCGAAGCGACCACGGCCGATATTGCGTTGTTCAGCCCCTCAGCGTCGAAGACCTCGTAACAGGCCTCGTGCTGGGAGTCTGCTGACACCCAAGCCACCTGTTCGACCACCCAAGCCAACAGGAAGGCGAGCAGTATCCACGCGTGCTTCGCCTGCGAAGCGTACGCAGCGAGCGGGAACGGGTGTCCGCGGGAGAGGGGAGTAGCCAAGAGGAAGGAGGAAGAGTAGCAGAATCACGGCTCGAGCGGCATCAGCATGAGCATAACAAGTCGAGAAAGAGAGAGAAAACATGGTTTATCACTTGTGTGTCGTGTGGCAAAACAGGCAACCTGCGTCGCGAAACGGTTGTTCCCTGAAACAGCCGTGAACAACCGACACCAAAACAACGCACTCATGACCGGAGAAGAAGAACCGCAGATCGTGCCACTGACGGCACCCCGGCAAGGTATCGAACAAGGATCCCAGGCACTAAGCTTGACGAGACCATAATTTTCCCCGACAACCCTCATGCCGAGGAATGCACGGCAGCCGTATATTGGTTGTCATCATCCAAAAACTCGAGTTTCTTCGAAGGAATCTTGGGTACAAGGCGGTGATAGGGTGCCTGCCACCCTCACCAGGAAATACAGCCTGTCCTGTCCTGTCCTGTCCCGCCCCGGTCTCACCTCCACGGTGCACCGGTTGACGACCAAATCCGCCAGGAGCACTACCAGCCCGATCGAGCTCACTACGGCACGCCCTTGCCCCTCATCGTCTCGCGCGTATTCGAGCCTGCACGAAGAAAACACGCAGAGAACACAAAGTATCAAAAAGCGGTGTAAGGACACATGAGATGCCACGTTGAACAGGTTCGAGCCTGCGTGAAGTATGGCACGCAGAGAACATAAAAAGACATAGGCCGCCTGAGGTGCCACGTTCATCAGGTTCGACACGGTGTGTCGGAACGGTGAGTGCTCACCGGTGTTCATCCGGCCATGGTTTGGCATCACAACCATACCCGCTCAATGAGAGAGCCGAGAGTAGAACCGTGGATCGATGCACCCATCAGGTGGTCTGGCGATTCTCCGCCAGCCTACTTTGGCTAGGAAGGCCGTGTTTTATCTGAGAATTTCGCGTCGCCTGCAGCAGTCACTTCGGTTTCCATCTCGCCCCTACATGTTTCGCAAGAGGCCACTCCATCAGATTTTGGTACCGCCGTGTGAGATGTTCACACGGCTGCCACAGGTAGCCCCCGGGAGGGACACATGATGTACTTTGTTACAAAAAAGATCGTTTCCATCGTGGAGTTCAAGTTTTCCCCAATGTTTCAGAAGAGAGTGTAATTTTCGTTCGATCCATCGTGTCTCCCGCTCGTCGTCGACAACGACAGATTGCATGAATAGCCGTTCAGAGCAACGGCGGTAGTGTCAAATAATGGCCTTCAAAGAATCGCATGGACGAACATGCTGAAGCGAGTGGAGAACCAAAAGCAGCAGAGAGAGGTCGGCCTGAGAGCGGCGCATTTGATGCTGACGTAACACGCGAAGCTAAACCCAGCAGGAATGTATCAATACTCTCAAGCCAGTCCTTCTCCTCAGATAGTGCGGGATCAAACAGTGGCAAACGGTTCCCACGAGGACGAAGCCACTGAAGAAAAGGGGTCGCCCATGTGCCGCTTCTTGCGATCAGGTAATTCCGCCATCCAGTTCAGGGACAATCTTCGTTTGGTGTTGTACTGAAGTAGATTTGTTTTTTCGGCTTGAGCTTCCGCATCTCTTGCTTCATCACGTTCAACTTTGTTTCACTTAGCCATGGGCACTAAATGCTTCATACATAAGACCCACCAAAACGCTAGAACGTATGTACGCTTGAGTGGTGACGCATATGTAACCTCAAGTCAATTCATTGGTCTGGCGGCTAGCGCGGCCGACGCCAATTCAATAAACACAGGTGTATGCATACACAAAAACTACGCATTCGTAGGTGTTGAGAATCGTCGCACACGGAGGTGTGGGGAGGCTGAAAACAGCGACACGGTTCTAACAACTGCATGCCAATTGGAGCAAAGGGCCCTTCGTGTGGAAGAGAAGGAAAACACCAGCAAGCCCGGCGTCAACTTACGAAGGGAAAGGGGCGGTCTTAGTTGCCACCGACGGGAATAATGCACAAGTAACTCTCCGGGGTGTCCACGAGGTGTAGTAACCAAGCGGTCTCCCCGAGTGCACACGCAGACGCACTTCTCCAGACCTCGATAAGGCCTATCGAGAGTGGGGTGTGTGCGTCTTTGCGTCTTTCGTACATCAGGTACTTAGGATTTAGTGTGGGTATTATAAAATCTGCAAGGGCGCCGTACTTCGGGCGCCACAGGTGCCTTCGTCCTCATGCTTCTTATAAGCTGGAAACACCCACTCTCAAGTCGATGATGTTGATGATCAAAGGTGGTGGGTTGAGGATGCGTGAGTCACACATGCATACCAAGGGCGCGAAGCTGGAAAAGAGGTTCGGTTACATGACGGAATTCGAACGCCATGCTACTGTATACACCTCCGACTTCTAGGTGTCGTGCAATAAGTCAACCCTAGTTTTAGTCAGTGTAAGAAGAGTTGGGGTAGCTTAATCGCAGTATGTATGTTGAGGCGTGATGGAATGGACTTGAAGATGGTGGCTCTGGGAGCAGGGTGGGAGTTAGTTCTGGTTGAGATATCGTCAAATGAGGTCATGAAAAGTGTATGAGGTGGAGACTAGGATTGAGAAGGCGTGGGTTTATGGTTGGAATGATGAGCTCATGAGGGAATTGCAGTTAGTTGAGAAAAAGTGAGAGAGAGCGTTGGAGAGAAAGTGAAGCGGCGCAATTGGATAGATACAGGTGAAGCGGCGCATTTAGCTCGCGTCAGCTCATGACGCGTGCCCCCCTTTTTCAGTGTCGTTTTCCCTGCTGTTCCCGGCCCACGAAGGCCTAAGAAACACACTTTGATCGCAAGCAACTTCGAGACGCGCAAACCCACGACCCCACTGGCACATTTACACACACATCTACGCGCGATAGGTCACCCCCGGCCGATTCCACGTCACTGGCACCGAAGGAGGGGCGACGCGGTTAGCGCACCGCTTGCGGTGTGTTCTTCCCATGGCACAGAGAGGTGAGGGGGGGGAAGTGAACAGCGATGAAGGGATAATTGGGCCCTCGGACCAGAGGGGTGGCGGTGGTTCTGAGGGCAGTGGGATGGATGAGCTGTCGACGGGAGGGGATGAGTCGGCGGCGAAAGCGCTGTCAGTGAAAGGGGTAGTGTTGACAGAGAGACCTTGGGAGGAAGGGAGAACAAGGTCGGGTGGAGACGTCGAAGTTGGAGACTCAAGTCAGACAAGGGAAGTGCTATCCAAGAGTGTACAGCAGATCTGAGGATGCACAACGTACAGAGGCTGAGGTCTCTGGGGGAAAGGGTGGAAGGCCTGAGAGCAAGTGGGGTTATGAGGGCATTGCGCACGCTGGGGGGAAAAGTGTGTCGCACAAGGGTGGAACGACTGTGGGTGACTTGGAAAAAGGTGTGTCTTCAAGTCTAGCAAAAGGGCTGACGCAGATCAAGGGAGATCGGGGCAGAGAGATGTGGGAGAGTCATTTGTCTGCGAGTCGGGGAAGGAGTCTGACGAGAGGCTCGGGGGCAGGGGCAAGGCGCCTCAGCGCAGAACAGAGGACGCCAATGGAGGCAATGGCAATACCAGGGTTCCAGGTGTTAGCGCCACGAAGTAAGAGAGGTGGGGAGGAATACCACTCTCGTCGAACAAGCGAAATGCGCAGAAACAGAAGGTCACAGACACCTGACGCGGGTCATTCTATTTCTCGTACGTCAGGTAATGGGGGAGACCAAGGGCCCGTGAAGGATGAAGACGATCCCAAGAGGGGGGCTGATGCCCAGGTGGAGGATGGTGGTGGAGGGGGCAGTGCCTCGGACGAGGGTGGTGGAGGGGATCGAGAGTCCCTTGGTGGGCAGCCATTGGATGGGGGGAAGGTGAGCGACACATCGAGTGCGATCCTTGACTTGCTACATTCGCATTTGGGGGTGATGTGGAGGCTCTACAAAGTCTGGTGTCCATTATGGGGGGAGGTGGAAGAAAGGAACCAGAGTCAGACGTAGAAATCGCAATCCATCTGAGTGGGGAGGAGAAGGCAATATTGTTGAGGGAAAACAACAAGTGGCTAGTGAGAAACTGGCAAGGGAGATGGAAAGCACGTTTGAAGCAGCAGACGACTATGTGCCACCCCGAAAACCTGAACTTGAACCCAGCTGTGAGAGAGACGAATCTAGCCAGCTTGTATTTAGTAACTCTGAGACGGTGTCGGGTCAATCAGTGTTGGCGGTAAATCGCTTCGAGTAGTTGATGGAAGACAGTGAAGATGATCAGTTTCCTCCGTTACCATCCATGCAACGCGTAACCACCCCATGGCAGGTGGTGGGACAGAAAGCAGGGTCAAAGAAGAAGGGGTTGGACCCACCCTCTCCTCAAATCTCTATCCCTGTCCAAATGGTGGCTTTGGCTGAGAAACACCACGAGGAGCAGCGAAAGGCTTTTGAGAAAAGTAGACTTGAGCTTGACGGGGTAAAGCGCGAGTTCGAAGAGCAGAAGGGCGCTGTGTCTCACCTTGAGAAGAAATGGGAAAAAGTACAGAAGGACCCGGATATCAAGAGGTTAGCTACACTTATCTTGCGCAGAAGGCATGGAGGGAAGGGCAAATGTCCACCAAGGGCAGCACCACCATGACTGGCAGGCACCACCGCCCCAGCAGCAGCAGCAGCCGCAGCAGCAGCAGCAGCAATGGCAGCAGCCACTGCCGCAGAGGCAGGCGTCACAGCCGCATTGGTTACAGGGAAGGGGGGGGGTTTGACGGGGGTCCTCAAGGGGGCACGGTCTCCCGCGACCAGCAAGGCAACTTCCACACTGGGAGGTGGGTGGGAGATGACAGGGGGGGTAACGTGTCTGTCGAGGAGGAATTGAAGGAGGAGGAGGTGTTGAGGGAAGAAAATACTACACCCGTTGATGACAAGCTCAAAACAGAGTCCCAGGAAGAGTTGTAGAACAACGAGAAGGAAATCGAAACTCTCAAGCAGAAGGTGGCTGAAATGGGAGGTCAGTTCAGACAGGTGAGCCTCCAGGACACGGACGAAAAACCTCAAGCATGTGCAACGGCAGTCGCATCTGAACCTAATGTGGCTACAAGGGAGGTGGCGCCAGTCAAACAAGAGTAGGAAGATGTTGTGTTTCACTCAGCGACAGTAGCAACGGTTAAGAAAGAACCGGAGGGCGTCACGATCCAGCCGTTGACCTCGGGGGAGAAACAGAAGATCATGACGGGTTACGTGACGATGAACATGAAGGATTGGACTTCCTTGGATACCACTTTCTGATTCGCCACGAGAGCTGGTTTCTTTCAACAGAAGGTTGGAAGATACGGTCAACAATGTGTTTTTCGCGGCCGGGGATTACGGTGGACGGTGGGTCCCAGGATGGGAACAACCTGTGCACAGACATCTGAGCACTTCCATCACCCGATCCATGTCCCCTGCCCAGACGATAACGTTCCGCGAGAAGATAGGCAAGGTCTTTTCGGATACATCAAAGAAGATAGAAGAAGGGTCAACGGGTAGGAAGGCGTTGGCATTCTTGACTTCGGCGTTGGGAAGGGTGGTGAATTCATCCTCGCCCGAGAAAGTGGTGTACGACTTGCAGACCTTTGCGGTACCGACTGGAACGCCGTATAGGGAGTACTTGACTACCTTGCAGGGGTTGGGGCACAATGTTCGGAACTTGGCACTTGTGACGCCGCAGGATAATACAATTCAACTGGCAGTCAGAGAGATTGTGTCTGATCAATACAGTGTTCTGACCGCTTCCGTGTGTAAGGGCAAGGAGTTGGGAGTGGTGCAGTTCGATAACANTCCAACACGAAGGATGGCTCAGGTAAAGGGTTCCTCTGGGGGGAGGCAGGGACAGAGATGTGATGGAGGAGGAAGGACAGGGTCAGGGGGAGGGAATACCTTTCGGTCCGCGTCTCCTGGCAGGTCCGATGGTGGATATGGGGGGAGGAGGGTGATGACGGTGGAGGACATGGACTACGAGGACAAATGTGAAGAGTTCAAGAGAGTCTATGGCATTCACTCGTCGCCTCGCACAAACAGCCAGGTGAATGATTGCCCTTTCTTCGCGTGGTTTACGTCTGTCGAGGAAAAGGACAGGCACAGACGGGCGTTCGGGTCAAGGTGTTTGAACTGTGGTAGTGAGGGACAGTTTGTGCGGGATTGTGTCAAGGGTTACATTAACGCCTCAAGTATGTTGAACCGAAATTTGGCAAACGGGTCCAAGGCCGAAGTCAAGGCAAGATGGGATCGGTGGTTAAATCGTCTACAACAATGGTAAGCACATCGTATGGAGGAGAGTCGGAGAGAGAGGAATAACTGATGGTGCGGCGGTCAGTTGGCCAGCTTGCCGTAGCACCTTGGCCGAATTGCTTTGTGGGTGATCAGGCAGAGAGAGAAGAGGAAAGGGGGGTGGAGGTGAAGGGTGACAGGGGTGAACGGTATTGCGAGAAAAAAGGGAAATATCGAGGGGTGATGGTGCAGGGTGAAGAAGGTCCCGGGTATTGTGATGAAAACAAATATCGCGGGCAGGAGGGAAGAAAGCAGAGCCAAGGCACGAGGGGGGCTGGGGTAAAGAGAAAACAATCATCACGCGAGAACATCGAAGACGACTCGGAGGGTGGGATTGTAGAGGAGGCAGGCCGATCGGTGTTGCACAACACCGAGGGTGATGGCCTGGCGACGGGGAGCGTCTTGTCCAACCACGGTAAGCGACCTTTTTCAGTATCTAAGGAGTATTCCAAGCAGGGTGGAAGCAATTATCCCAAACTGCAAGTGGTTTTGGGTGCTGATAAATTGACCTGCACGGGTGTAGGCCGTGGGAGCAAGAGAATATATTGGGGAGTAGGCCCCCGCAAGAAATTCTTGGTCGTGGTGTGTCGCAAGATGTACGTGCACACTTTCAGGAAAAAATCACTGGTACGACACAGGGATTTTCCAGAAGAAGAAGTGCCGACCGCGCCCCCTTCGTCAGATCAAACGAAGTTCAACATTGGCACAATGGGAAATGTTAATGACAGTGCAAAACCAGTGGGGAATGCGTTAAACACTCAAAGGAAGGAAATACGAAAGGCACATTCTCCGAGAGCAGTGAGGTGTATGCTGGATCCTCAAGCGGAGCACACTGTTGGTCGAAATGGTGCCAAAAAGGGGTCGATTAATAGGGACACTAGAAAGAAAAAAAAGCGTTACCGTTGATCGTGCTGGGGGCAAGCAGAACCATGAAACTGTTGCTTTACCAGTGACAGGAGAAGAGGGCGTGATAGGGGATGCATCCGCCTCTGAAAATTCTCTCAAGCGTGAGCTTGAGGAAACAACGCAGAAGGGAGGAAATTTTGCTGAAGCACCGAAAGGAACAGATGGCATTTTTGCCGTACAAGTTTCTGCTACTTCTGTGTCGGGACAAAGGAGTGATGCGGTGTACCCTCCGCCTCCTTGTACGTTTGCTGCAGGTGAAGCGGCGGACTACCTGTCACCATTTACTCGGTCGATCGGTGGGGATTTGACGATGGATCGACATCGGCATGCGACTAGAGTGCAAGCGTTCGCGGGGTCGAGAGCGACCAAGATAATGTCGTGGGAGGCTCTGTTGGATACGGGAAGTCCGGCATCGTTTGTACAAGAAAGGTGTGTGCAAAAGATGTTGGCATGTGGTTCAGCTTCAGGTGATAGCATTGACACAGGGCTGAACAAGAAATGGGGTGGGTTTCATGGGGTGACATTGGTTACAGATCGAAGAATGCGATCAAATATTGAAATGTGGAAGGGCGGGCAATCAGCGCCGGTTCGTTTCGGTACACCGACGGTACGGACGAGTGTGTATGCGTACATTGTGCCAGACTCGGCCATGGTACATGATCTGATACTAGGGAGGGATAGCTGGGCTGATTTTCCAGTTCGCAGATTCCAACACGTGTCGGACACAGAAACAATTGTCACTTTTGTCGGTGCAAATACTGATAAGGTGGCAGGAGATCACCGCTTTGAGGAATGGGTAGGCCACGCGGTTGGTATGGTGGAAACTGAAGGTGATGGAAAGGAGGTGGTGAAATCTATTGGTAGTAGACGATGGCTTCCAAACGCAATGTCATGGGTGGAGGTAAAATTGACCAACCTAAATGGCAGTGACGCTGCGGTGGGGACGTACCGTGTGCAGTTTGGGAATAAGTGGTTCCCGCAGGAAGCGTTAGTCGAAAATGGCACGTCTGAAATTCCTCTAAGAAGAGTGGGGTGAAACGATGCTCGTGTCTGGTGAAACCAAACGATATTTTGGGGTATGGTGGTGAACCCCTGGAGGTGGCAAATCTGGATGATGCTCGTTTGGTGGAAAATGATAAATTCAAATATGTTTTTGCGGTTCAGGAGGGTGAAGAGCCTGACATGCATAACGACGAACCTCCCGCTGATGTTATGTCTTCTTTGAATGGGGCGTAACAGGTGGCGTTCAGGCGGCNAAGCGTTAGTCGAAAATGGCACGTCTGAAATTCCTCTAAGAAGAGTGGGGTGAAACGATGCTCGTGTCTGGTGAAACCAAACGATATTTTGGGGTATGGTGGTGAACCCCTGGAGGTGGCAAATCTGGATGATGCTCGTTTGGTGGAAAATGATAAATTCAAATATGTTTTTGCGGTTCAGGAGGGTGAAGAGCCTGACATGCATAACGACGAACCTCCCGCTGATGTTATGTCTTCTTTGAATGGGGCGTAACAGGTGGCGTTCAGGCGGCTGTGGCAGAGGGTGCCTCCGCACATTCGAGACGTCCATTTCGACTTCAATTCGAAACTGTGGGAGCCGGAGGACATTGACAAACTATTAGGTGATTTATTGTGCAAGTTTGAGCATCGTTTTTCGAAGGGGTGATTCTGATTTAGGACGGGTGACGGTGGATCCGTTTCGAATCATTTTGAAGCCGGGGGCACAGCCAGTGCGGCAGAGGCCATATCGCTATTCGCCGGTTATGAACGAAAAGGTGCAGATCGAAATTGACAAATTGCTGTTGGCGAGTGTGTTGCGGAGATCGTAGAGCAATGGGGCGAGTCCGCTGGTGGTGGTCGCGAAGGCTAACGGTGGCGTACGGTTGACGGTCAACTACAGCGCATCAATAAAACTAGTGCAATCCCGAAATTGCCCATTCCGATAGTGGAGGATATTTTAGCGGAATTGGACAAACCGAAAATCTTCAGTTACGCTGGATTTGGTCAGTGGGTTTTTCCAGTGCAGTATTGAGGAGGACAGCATTCCGATCACTGCTGAAATCACCTCTACGGGATTGTACGAACTCTTATCCGTGCCGCCAGGTCTCAGTACTGGTCCTGGGTGGTTCCATTCGGTGATGGCCAGAGTATGTCACGGACTGGAACGTGATGGACTGGAACGTGTGCGCCTATTTATCGATGACGTGATCGTTTCTTCCAGGGACGGGGCAGAACACGTGCGCGACCTGGAGAGGTTTTTCGAGCGCATGGTCAAGTTCAACCTGAAACTGGCACCCAAGAAGACGAACCTGGGGGTGAAGGTGGTGATGTTCTCGGGGCATCAAGTCACGGCGGAAGGGATCGGGCCGGACCCGGGAAAGGTCAGACCGCTGCGTGAAGTGCCAATGCCCACTAATGTTAGCCAGTTGCGATCGTTATTGGGGTCCTTGTACCATCGAAAGTCTCTGAAGCACATGTCGGCAAAATTGAAACCGATCAATGCCATGCTGAAAAAGGGGGCGAACTCTGAGTTCACGGCTCATCATGTGGATGTAGTGAGAAAGGTGATGGATATTCTGTCTGGTCCTGAAGTTTTGGCGTTTCCGGGTTATGAGGGTGCGATCTCGGGAGAGCGGCCGTTTCGGATGACCGCTGATGCGTCGATTCGGGCTTGGGAGCCGTAATCGAGCAAGAGCAACGAGATGGAAGTATTAGACCGCTATGCTTTTTGAGCAGATCAACATTCCCGAATGAAACGAGATGGAGTCCGACTGAGCTTGAAGCGGGTGCGATAGTGTGGGCGATAAAGAAGAATCTAACACTATTTATGGCATCCCCTTTCAAGTGTACAGTAACCATCAACCCTTGTGGAATTTGGGGAGTTTGGCAGAGAAAAACAATCGCGTACAAAGGTGGTATGACTTCCTGTCAGCGCACACGTATGAACTGAAGTATCGACCAGGGCGAGAGAATGCAAATGCCGATTTGATGTCACGGTTGCCATTGCCTGCGACGAAAGAGGATGAGGCACCAGATGTCCGGCTGACTGATCCGTCTGATCTCGATGTTTACATGATAAGTGCGAGCGGGGTGCTACCTTCGCGATTGGGTCTGGTGTATACCGAGCGAGAGGCGCTCGCTGGGTCGACCCATCGCGATGAATTTGTGGTGGGGGAAAGTGGCCGTACATCGGCGAGCCTCACTATGGATGAACTGGCAGACAAGACGTGGGCGCTGATCCAAAGGGGAAAGGGCGTGACCAACCCTTTGCCTGATGGTGCGTGTGTGCCTGATGACACCCGGTTGGTGGAACCGAGTGGGAAAGTAGTCAGTGGTCAGTTTGAGCCCGGGCTGATATTACATGCTGTTCCGTTAACGGGAGTTGACAGACGCTTGTTAGGATTGGTGGAAAAACCGCGAGAGTATGCTATTTCTCAAGGAGGGGGCAGTGCCTCTGGTCGTGGTGGTGGTAATAGCAGTAACGCTCGTGGAAGTGGGGCTGTTGCTGGTGGGGGTGGTGGCAGTAATGCTCGTAGTGGCAGGGCTGTTGCGCATGGAAGGGGTCGAGGTGGTACGGCTCGAGCAAGCGGGGCTGCTGGTGGTGGTAGGGGAAGGGGTTCCGGAGGCAGAGGTCCGGCAGCACCCCCGTTGCCTCAAATTGTACGATGAAGAAAAGACGCAAGCGGCAATTGAATTTGGGGAGAATGCATGTGAAAAGACGGCTAGTGATTGGGCGGACATTCAGGTGGAAGACGATACGGCACGATTAGCAATCACGGCTATTGAAGGGCATGCTGATCCAAAGAGGATGGAGAAGGGTGATATTCCGAAAATGTAGACGTAGATTTTGGAGTTGAAGCGGTTGGTGGCACAGGGTACTTTGTTGGTGTTGCGCAATTCGAAACATGTGTTGGTGAGGAAAGAATCGAAAGCCCCTGCGGAAAATCCAAATCGAAATCCAGGGCAAATTGAGAGGTTGGGAGGTGAAGAGCCCGTTCGGACGTGTGTGCCTAGGATGTTGAGACCGTGGGTCATGGATTGCGCTCACAAAGAAGCAGTGCATTTGGGAGACAAAGTGACTTTAGGTATTTTACAGGGTGTATTGGTGGATAGGAATGCGGAAAGCGTACGTTGGTGGATCCGTAGGTATTAATTACCCTTGTCAGTTTCGGAAAGTGCCGCGGCATACAAAGGGTTGGCCGTAAGTGTCTTTGCCTCTCCCGAGAAGACCGGGACAGATGGTGTCGTTTGATTATTTGGGTCCGTTACCGAAAACGACGAAAGACAACGAGTATGTGTTCCTGGTGGTAGATTTATTCAGCAGACATGCCGAGGGGTACCCACTAACGAAGGTGCAGTGCGAAGGGTTTTGTGTCTATCGTGGTGAACGATAATATTGCGAAGTGGGGTTGCCCGCACACCATGTTGTCAGATAGGGGAGCAGAGTTTGCGAGTGAGGTAGCGAAAGGGGTGTATAAGATGCTGGGGACGGTGAAGAAGCTTTAATCGTTCGCGTTGATCCCGAAGTTGGCGCGCAATTGGACCGGCCCGTGTAAGGTGTTGATCGTGGGTCCAGGGGATGGTCTTGACGGGGAAAAGGTGGGCCCGAATATTTTGGATGTGGACGTGAATAAGGATGAGCCAGGGAAGAACATTAACGAGAGGGTGTCGGTGTATCGGTGTAAGAAGTGTAATACTCAGCACGAGAACGAGGATAGACCTAGGTTTTTGCCGTGGGGCTTTAGCAAGTATGTGTTGGATAAGTTTTCAGAGTTGGCGCCTCCGTTCCATCTTACGGCAGAGGACGTGGAGGAAGAAGTGGATGGTAAGGAATTGGTCCCGTGTAAAATATCAAGGCACAGAATTTGTTGAGGTATCAGTGGGAAGGGGGAGGTTCAGTACTACACGCATTGGACGGGGTTGGCTAAGTGTACGTGGGAGCATGAAGTAGAGTTGGAGCAATATGGAGACGTGCTGCTTAAGTATTGGAATGAGCAGCTGGAACAATCGGCCGGAGGGAACATTAGGTATCGGAGGTATCGTATTCAGGTATCGTATTCAGGGTGCAAAAAGGACGATTGCTAGCAGGAAAGGAGAAAGACACGTGCAGAAAGATTACAAACATTGTTGTGACATACGGGGTAGGCCGAGTCTTCGAAGTGAGGCGATGATTGGTGCATATTTATATTTTAGACTGCAAGGGCTGGTTGGCAGTTTGCAAAGGTGGTGCAGGTGACTCGGGATCCGAGGTGGGAAGAAGGCATCAAGCATACTTTCAAGCTGGTCGACATCGGCAAAAACATCAATGTGGCGCTCCTGGAGAAGTTTGAAGTCGGACAACATGGTACAAAATCCAGGAACGTGGTGTTGGCATGCACACCGGACGGCGAAAAGTGTCAAGAAGTACATGTTTGAGTTGGAAGATGATTAGGTGTTTGAATTTGAAGTGCGGAGGACTGCGGAAAAGTGTGCAAAGTGGTGCAGTCGAATACGGGTCAAATTTTTTGGGGTGTTTTTGAAGTGCGTAGGACTGCGGAAAAGTGTGCCAAGTGGTGCAGTCGAATACGGGTCAAAATTAATGTTGTGTTTGAGCAATTGTTGTCTTGGCTAATGAATGTACCTTGTGATGAGTCATATTGCAGTGGTATCACGGTCGTGACGGAATTGGAGTGGGAGTGTATAACACGAGTTGAATTCTGGTGAATAATGTTCGGACTTGTTGCAAGGGAATGACATTGGTTGTAGGTCAGGTATTGCACGTTGTGGTCAAGGGTTAATTCAAACGAGACTGATCGCAGAAACATGTGCGTTGAACCTGGGGGGGGCGAATGTCGTGCAATAAGTCAACCCTAGTTTTAGTCAGTGTAAGAAGACTTGGGGTAGGTTAATCGCAGTATGTATGTTGAGGCGTGATGGAATGGACTTGAAAACGATGGCTCTGGGAGCAGGGTTGGAGTTAGTTCTGGTTGAGACATCGTCAAATGAGGTCATGAAAAGTGTGTGAGGTGGAGACTAGGATTGAGAAGGCGTGGGTTTATGGTTGGAATGATGAGCTCATGAGGGAATTGCAGTTAGTTGAGAAAAAGTGAGAGAGAGCGTTGGAGAGAAAGTGAAGCGGCGCAATTGGATAGATACAGGTGAAGCGGCGCATTTAGCTCGCGTCAGCTCATGTCGCGTGCCCCCCTTTTTCAGTGTCGTTTTCCCTGCTGTTCCCGGCCCACGAAGGCCTAAGAAACACACTTTGATCGCAAGCAACTTCGAGACGCGCAAACCCACGACCCCACTGGCACATTTACACACATATCTACGCGCGATAGGCCACCGCCGGCCGATTCCACGTCACAGGGTTTTAGAGTCCTTCACGAAAGTCTATATTTTCTTGGAAAAATCGGAATGCACATGAATACAATCAAGACGAGGCCGGGTGTTCACAAATGCCGAACATCAAAACCAAAAGAACGCAAAATCAAAATCAAACAGCGTCATGCTGGAAAATTGAAGCAAAAGGGGCCGTCGGGTAAACGGGGATATGCACAGAAGAACGGTCGGGCGAGGAGTCAGAAACAGGCCTTTCGCCAGGGGCCTGCGGCAAGCGGTGTGTTTCCAGATTAGTTTTGTGCTCTGATGTTTTCAAGTGTCCATGCATATCTCGCCCAACAAGGAGTGAGGTGCCCAAGAAACGGCATCAAGAAGAGGCGGCGCCGAGGACTTCTGTTGGATAATGCCAAGGTGTTGACGCCGTGAGGTGCTTACTGCGGCCTAAAAATTTTGTGTCGAGGCAAAAAAGTCAACGAGCTGTCGGTTCACGTTCTTCCTAATGCCGCGGGTTTGGTTTCCGGTAACTTTTTGGAGGAAGTGACAGCAAAACAGCAATTCCACTCTCCCTTCTTCCCCTCGCTCCTCGACAAGCTTTTGCTTAGACATGGGTTGTAGCGAAGGGGCGGGTCTTTCTGGCGAGCAGGGCTAGACTCACCCTCAAGGGATGACCCAAACCTTCTTGCTGCTGCGCATCCGCCGCGAGGCTTGCGTGTGGTGGTGGAGTTGGGTCGGCACTGATGGGGTCAGGCGGGAAAATGTAAATGAGCGGGCCTTTCTGGCCGTCGGCGTAGGCAGTGATGCCCATCTCATTTTTGTGCGCGGAGGCAGACACCATCAGAAAGGTGGACGGGCACTACACGGCCCTAGGTTTGCTAGAGGGAGCTGTATTGCCTCAGTAACCTGGCTTCGCCATCAAAGGAGGAGGGAGCAGGTGGCGACGAGCTGAACTAGGCTGGTTGACCATTCGGCGCGAGAATTTTTATTTTTTTCAGACCAAGAACCTTGAGTGCAATGAGGGAGAAAGCGAGGAACGGACTGGGAAGGACAGCAACGAGAGCGTGTACGGACGGAGCAGGTCGAGTGGCGTTATGCTCGGGCTGACTACAGCGGCGCCGGACGGAGCAGCGGCACCGGAGCATGCGGGCGACATCGACCCGTGGCGCACGGACAAACATTTCTATCTGTGTTGTCAATTTTTGTCGTTTTTTTTCTGACTTTTCGTGTTGGTTTTATGCTATGT